CCAGGGGCACAGTGCGGAGGGCTTGCTGGTAGACCCTGTAGCCGGGCTGTCTCCTCTGAGACTTGCTTGCCTAGGGGCTGAACTTCTAGTTCCACACTCCGTACTTCTCTGTCTCACAGTCCCGTTGACTCTGACTCAGGGAGACCTGGACTTTAATCCTGCTCTCAATCTCACATCATCCGCCAGACGCTCCTGGGTTTCACACGGACACTGCAACCTGGGCATCAGCCTTAATTTCAGCATCAAGTCTGCAAGTGTGAGCACTACAGAGTTATGAGTCAAGCTGATAACAGGCCAAACAAACACAACGTGCTGAAACACACCCCGGCCTAATTTCCAGCAAGCAATACTTTGATCTAAGATGAATTTCATCTTCTCTTTTCTCCCTTCCTCTCTTCCTCAGGCCCCTCCTTCCCTCTTCCCTCTCCCCACTTCCAGCCTCCTGGGGGAACCGGAAGCACAGGCAGGTCTGTGTTTACCTGTTCTACTGTGCCTTGCAACTCTGTTTCCCATGGCTTCTGGCAGCGAGTCCTGAGTGATAACCTAGTACCTGCAGGTGAACTGCAGCTAGGGCACCAAGGATCTCTCCTGCCAGCTTAGTGTGTCACTCAGGCTGCCTGGGTTCAATTCCTGGATCCCAGCCCTTACCTGCTATGTGAATTCCTCTAATTCCCAGTGAGGTGGGATTTCTAAGCTCCCTTAGGTTTTTTTTTAAAGGTTGTGGCTGTCTTGGCACTGGCAGTCTACGAGTTGGGAACACAGGTGAACCACAGTCCAAAAAGTGAAGTTAGGGGGGGGCGTGGAGGTACAGTTCCCCAGCGCTCTACCCCGCAGCCCGTCCCCTCTCCCCGGCTTGATTTACGCTATGCTTGGGATAGACTCCAGGCTTCATGAGTCTACACAACCACTGTACCAACTAGGCAAGAACCCCAACCCATGTAACGCATCCAGCTTTGATTTCACATTTGAAAATGAAGATAAAGAAAGCAGTACTGTGGCCTCGCAGTGAGGAGTGAGCGGCAAATTTTGTTAAAGCCCTTTGCTCACAGCCGACCATTACAGACAGGGACGGAGAAACAAGTGCCATCATCCTAGCGCTGGGTTTCCATCTGTGAAATCACACAGTCGGGCTGGAAGCTCTCTTCCCGCCTCTAAGAACATGTCTCTAGGAGTCCGGCTGAGAGGAGGGACGAGGTGAGCACCACTGTAGCCGGCAGTTTGGTTCACGTGTCTTGCTAAGATTTAGCCCCTAAAGTGCCTTATCCTAGGAGATGTCAGGCACAGTGCCACTCTCAGCCCTAGCTGGAGTCCCGCAGTGCGCCAGGCTGGCAGGGGAGGAGACTCGTGCACAGCGGCAGAAGGGCACAAGTGCTCAGGCTCTAGCGCGCTCTGCCTTATCGCCGCCTCAGAGTCGAGGGTAGAGTGGTCCGCGAACGTCCACTACCTCTGCTGCCTGGGCATCACTCACCGTCCAGTCATCGCGTGGTCCAGAGGCCACCAGCAAGGTAGTCCCTCCGCCTGTACCAGAGTTGTGCCTGCACCCGACTCCAAAGCCGGGCTTCTGCTGCAGGGGGTCAGGTCCGCCCCTGCCCGCCCTAGACACACCTCTTCCCGCCCCCAGACACGCCCCTCTCTGCCCTAGGAACGCCTCTCTCTGGTCAAAAGCAAAGCCCATCAGCGCCTCTCCTCCCTCCTGGGTGCTTGCTACAGTTGTCCCTCAAGAAGACCCCGTGCATCTGTCCGCTTGCTTGATTGATCTCCATGGACACCACCGAGCGCTCAGCTCGTCACTTAAGTTCCCAATCCTCGAGGGCGCCTCAGGAGGCAAATAGAAAGCAGCCGGGCAGGGCCCTAGGGGCTCGCCGGTCTACAGGCGGAGGCCAGGGATCCTGGGTAACACAGACCCTTGGGTTTCAACGAAGGCCTCTGCGCAGGCGCTGCAGCTTCTACTGTGTGCATCCTGGGGAGGGTGTGTGTGTGTGTGTGTGTGTGTGTGTGTGTGTGTTGTGTGTGTGTGTGTGTGTGTGTGTGTGTGTGTGTGTACACGCACGGGTGAAGCCCGCAACATTTATTTATTGAACAGGTGGCACTTGCAAGCAAAGGCGTGCCTTCTGAGAAAGCGCCATTAAGAAATCTGAGCTGGTGAATTTAAAAAGTTAGCTTCCTTTCTCTGGCGCTGTCCTCTGAGCACCGATTTGCCAATACTGAGGGAGAGCCTCAAACCGTAGGCCACTGTGGAAGTTTAAGGGGGCTGGGTGGCCCGGGTGCTGGACTGTTGGGCTGGGGGAGCTTTGTCGGCTCTGTTTTATGTCACTATTCCCAGTCCTGACCTCAGGACCTCTTGGCTGCTCCGGCAATGTAAATCAGCTCAGCTCAGTCCTTGGTTTCTAATCCTCAGGGTCACATGGCCATTTAGAGTATGATGTGGAGCTTCTAAAAGTGTAAGGTGTTCTCGTATTTGAAAACAACCTGGGGTTTGAGTCCCAGGACCCCGATTCAGCGGATTTTGCTAGTTATTGTGGATGGTGACTGTGAGCATAGTGATTGCACTTTGTCCTTTCCTTCCTGGGTGGCAGACTGTCCGTGTCTACTTCCCTATCTGCAGGGGGCTAAAGGTGACCAGCCCGGAGTCCCTCTCCAACTCAGCCTCTGCTTGTATTCTTCGAGAATGATCCATTCTCTCTGCCAACCTGGGGTTCCTATGGCTGCTGGCCTGTTGGAATACGTGTTTCCTTCCGCAGTCCAAATGCGGGGCACCTTAAAAACTGAGACCAACATTTGGGTGTTTCTAAGAGCTTTCACAAACCAAGTGCATGAAATCCACAAAACTCCCAATGTGTCCAGTCCATTCCCGCCCAAGTGAGGCAGTAAACAGGTGACAGGGTAAGTCTCCCTGGGGCTCTCCAGCATGAATCATGCTCTCTGGCCCGGTTCATGCTGCTGCCTCACCTGGTTTGGGACATAGGCCTCAAGTGTCCTGAGCACGCCTTGTAGGTGTGACACGTGCTGCTGGTCTGGTCCTCCTGCAGCTCCTTGGCCCTCAGCTGCACTGGCTGCTGCTCATATTTCATCTGGAGTACGAGGGGCTGCCCTGCTGCCCAGGGTTGGCTGTCTCTCACTTCGGGTGGTTCCTGACAGTTGCCTACTGAACGCCTACTGTCTTGTTTGGAAAAGGGAGGGAGGGGGAGAGGGGGAGGGGAGGGGGAGACAATAGAGAGAAGCCCACATATTAGGAGCAGCAGCTTGCTAGTCCCTGGTGATGGATCATGACAGCCTGTTACTTATTATGCTACACTCACAACAGAATGGTGAGAATTTAAACATGTGACTGGTAAAATATCAGTGTACAGTACACATTGTATGTTGTACTTTGTAGGACTTTTGCTTTGTCATTTATGTTTCAGTGGTGTAATATAAAATGCGTACTACAGTGGGGAAAAAATGAGAACAGCAGTTTCATTCAATCGTGACAATCCTTGTCATGGCTTTCCCATGGCTTTTTGAGATGTGGCCTTCACACTCACTTTTGGATATAGAGAGGAGAAAGAATTCATAGAAGAAGGGATTAGAGGGGAGGGTGGAGAAAACAGTTTTCTTAGTAGAAAGACAAGCTGACTCCCCTCCTTTCTTGTCTCATGATATAATATGCAATGTGTAGAGCACTAGCAGCCAATTTGAGATCATAACACAGTATGTCCACATGCTAAAGCTAGTGGATTATAAAAAAAGGAGGCTTGGTCTTAGAATTTCTGCACTGTCTTCAATAAGGTTTCACAACAATGATGGTGCAATATGGGTGACATACAGGCCAGTGTGACAATTCCTTCCCAGTCGGCCTTGCTCCCTTAGCTTCCTCCTGTTCTTCCCCCTCTGGTCTGGCGACACTGAATGTTCCTCTCAGCCTTCGCACTGGGTGTTTTGTCTCTAAGTCTCTTCTCCAGATCCTGTCAGGCTGACTCCTCACCTCCTGTGGGTTTTGAGTCACCTCCAGGTCTTTCCTGCCCTTAGCACATCCCTCCCAACCCACTCGCCCCCTCTCTGTGTCCCATGCCACCTTGGGCTCCCTAGCTGAGGGGCGCTCTTCCCTCAGCTGCGGAGCACCTGGGCTGTCGCCGGGTTGCCTTGTACTCATGGTGCTGCTGGCTTGCTCTCCCTTAGACAGATTCAGGAAAGATGCAGATTCTCAGAGGCCCTGGCCCCATTCCACATGAGGCATGAGTGATGTGGGATTGGGGTTCAACTTCTGGTGGCCCTGTATTGAGGGGTGCATTTGTGCCTCCAGGAGTGCGGCTCGAAGGACCTCTTCAGGCCTCAGGGGCTGAGGTCTCACAGAAATCTGCAGCACCACAGCAAAGGGGACTTTGAGGGATTCCTGTGAGGAGCTGAGCCCTGTTCATGGTTGGAGGCCTATGCTCACAGCATGGACCATCAGGGTAGCTTTAGGAAATATTGTGATTTTTCTAACAGTCCAGGCTGATTTATAGGGCCTGTAAAAAGGCAAATAGGAAATCTCCTGGCCCATTCTTTCACACAGGACCCTGGAATAAAGAACTTGGGCTCGATTTGTAAATGGGGAGTTTGAGCCACAAGGAAACTGCTAAAACCCACAGCATAGTCCAAGGTGAGGCTGCTACCCAGGAACCTACCCTGCTCTAGATTGGCTGGAGGCATCTTGGCACCAAGCTCTCTTCTAAAGCAACTGGACATAATCTTTGTCCTCTGTGCGGGAGCTTGTGTGCTGAGATATAATTTAGACAGACACATGGGTTCTGAAACATAGACTAATAGACTTTCATATAAATGATGTTAAGGTAAAAAACACTTTACTCTTTCTTTTAAGCATTTTTTTTGGTTTTTTGAGACAGGATTTCTCTGTATTGTTTTGGAGCCTGTCCTGGAACTAGCTCTGTAGACCAGGCTGGTCTTGAACTCACAATGATCCGCCTGCCTCTGCCTCCCGAGTGCTGGGATTAAAGGCGTGTGCCACCAATGCCCGGCTCTTTTAAGCATTTTATTTATTGTGTTGGGGGGGCATGTGATGTGTGCATGTGCATGTCGCGCGCGCACGCGCGGGCACACACACACACACACACACACACGCTTGTATACATGCATGGTCTAACACACACCCATGGAGGTGAGAAGACAACAGATGAGAGTTTGTTCTCTCCATCATGTGGGTCCCAGAGCTTAGGTCGTGGGGCTTTTTCCCCATCCAGCCTCCTTTTAGAGACAAGGTCTCATATAGCTTAGGCTGGCCTGGAACTCATTGTGTCTATGTAGCAGAGTATGGTCCTCTTGCCTCCGTCTCCCAAGTGGTAGGATGACAGGTGTGCACCACAGTGCTTGGCTCTGAGAACCATTTTCAAGGCCATTTCCTTAGAAGAATATGCTGGACTTTTGAATTAAAATTAGTGATTGATTTCCTAGGGCCCTGGGCAGATGACTTTGTGTGATCCTTTCCCCTCATCATCTCCGACATGAGATTCAGAGCAAATGCCTTCCCCGAGCAATTGCTCAAGAACTTAGTGTGACCTTACAGGGACTTCTGTGGCTGGTGATGGTGCCTGATCTGCTGGAGAATCAGTCACACATGGCTGGTGCTGTTTGCTTGGGTGCGGTCCCTCAGTGATGAGGGCATTGCGTGCTCTGAGTGTGCAGGAGGCTTTGTGAGGCTTGCCCTTAGATTTCATATAATCATTCCAAAATTCGGCATACCACCTACCCACCTTTTCTGTGTCACATGGTTCTCACCACCTTCGGTGATGTGCAAATAACAGCTCTGGGCTAATGTAAGAGACTCTCACCCCATATCAGAGCCAGGCTGGAAATGATCATTTCTTCCCGTAGTAGACATAAATTTCAATGACATGTGCTGCACCGCTGCCTTCTCATTAAATGTGCACATGCTCACAGACTTGGTGGTGCTTTTTTCCTTTCCAGTAATGTTCTGGGAATGCCTTTGTGCCCGGAGCTGCATAAATCCTAAGTGCTAGCACAGGGTTTCCCAGGAGCCTTTACCAGATCACATGGCCAGAAGTGCTGCTGCGACTTACTGTAGAGCAGAGAGAACTGCGTGCCTTGAGCCCTTTCTCCATTTAGTCCCGCTGGGAGGGGACAAGTGTGGAATGAATAGCTGCTCCCAAAGCACGTGGGAGGGCGGGCTGGCTGTAGTTGTACCTGCTCACGTTCCTCACCTTGTCTTCCTGATACTGGAAATGCAGCACACAGCTGGAAGAGGCTGTCTCCATCCGATAGTCTAAATTAGAAGGCCAAGGGTTGCCTTAGCTTTCTGAAGTTCCCCCTGCCTTCAAAGCCTTTGCCCAGCACCATCTGAGACCCTCTCCCCTCAGGACCACCTCCTCACACTTGTGCGGCTTCCCCAGGTATCCATACTTCTGTCACCTTCAACCCCTGACAGGGCTCCAGGAGACCGAGGCAGTGGGGGACTACTGAACACTATTATCAACATTGCTGTTGCTGGGAACTGCTGTACCATAACAAGAAGATGCAACAGTATTGCTGTGCATGGCTCCCCAGGGTACTGCATTCCAGAAGATCATTTGAGTGACTGCAGAACATGACTTCATGTCGTTCCATATTTTTATTCCTTCCACAAACCACTGGGCTCAGGGAGCCACAGGAAACAGTTCAAGGGCAGGAAGGCTTGCAGAAGGACACTGCTCTTCACAGAAATCCTCAGAGGGGATTGTCCAGTGCCCCACAAAGAGCCTGGGGTTGCCTGAGAGCCCTCGTTCCTGATAATAGCGAGCCTCTTCCAGAGAGGCACAGGAACCAGGGTCTTTCCTCAAGTCAGGATGTGAAGCCGCCAGAAGATGAAGAGACCTCCCAGAGGGAGAGACAAGGAGCCCGAGGGCACACAGAGCACTCACATACACAGGGGCCATCTGTCCAGCTCTGAGTGTCTCTTAACACAGAGCATCCTGGGGGAGTCACTAAAACTAAGATTCTTCTGAGGAATGCCAAACATTCCTGGGGCAGGGGCAGGCTGGCCTCTAGCCTGTGACCTTGACATGGAGCCTTGCCACTAAAAGAAAGAAAAGATGCTTCAGTTGAGTTGACCTCTCCACCCCTGCCAAGTTGCCTTTTGAGTCTTTGGATCCCAAATACTTGTGTGTTGGGAGAAGGCCTGAGCCATAGACTTGATAGATTTCTAATGCTTTGTCTCTGTTTTGGAATGGGCACTGGCTTTTCATCCTAAACGTGTTCTCAGTGAAAGGGATGGATGTCATTACAACTGTGAGAGGAGAATGACCAGTGTGTTTCTCAGGATTCCCCAGAGAAACAGTACTGATAAGAAGACATGTATATAGCTGATGGTTGGTATCTGTGCTCTCCACATCTGACCATCTGGAGTTCAAACACATGCAGAAAAAGCATTGCAACTGTATTGAACCTTTACAGTGTGAGAATTATATCGTGTTCACACCGTTTTAGGGAATGAGATCTTTCAAAGCATGTAGAAGCATACATGTGACTTACATGGAAATTCCACACCATTTCATTAAGGGTCTTGAGTATCTGCATATTTGGGCATTCATAGTGGACTGGAACCAGTCACCCAAGAAAGTGGCTCAGGAGATTATGGATCGATGAATCAAAGGTCTGTTAGGCAGGACCCACAGGTTGGATATTAAGATACGGTTGACGTTGCAATCTGAAATCTGCCCTCCAGTGAGCTGAGAATTTAACAGACTGCTGTGCAAGATGGCTGGCCGAGTCATAAAAACTTCGCTCAGTCTTTCCTCTGAAGGCCACAAACTGATCAAGTGAGGCCCTACCCCACATCACAGAGGCCAATCTCCTTTTTCAAGGGCCTTTAAAGTTATGTGTCAATATCACTTAAAATACCTTCACTATGGCAACTTGATCCAACAGCTGGGCCTTTGGGCCCGTAGGCTAGCCAAGCTGCTACCTGCAATTAGCCATCATAGGCGGCGCTAGCCTACTCTGGAGTGTGACCAATAGTCCAGATTGCCTCATGTGCCCCATGAGGACAGACTCCATGCAGAATGCGAGGCTGTAGCAGACCTTCCAGGACTCCAGATGGAGCCAGCCTCTTTCCCTGCATGATGGTTAGAGTCTCACTGTGTAGCCCAGGCTGTCTTTGAACTCACGATCAGGCAACCAAATGCAGCTGGGGTTTACATCAAGCTTTAATGTACCAGTGTCGCCTGTGGCAATTCAGGGGACTTTTGTTCCTCCTCGGCATCAAGAATGTATATTAGGGATCGCCAAATGTTCTTTGTGAAGGGCAATGAAGTGGTTTTCATATTTTCAAGGCACCGCACATCTATTGCAACCACTCAAGCAAAAGTAACCATAGGCCATAAGGGAATGAATGGGTGCTGCTTCAACAATAAAACTTTATAAAACAAGCAGAAAGCCTGATTCTGTCATTTTTTTCTTTTTGCCAAAGCTTCAGAAGGACACATAAGCTGCATTGTGGCTTAAGATTCTTTTAGGCATAAAGAAACAAAACAAAGACGACTTCATTATCTCATGTACTGAAAAGCCCAGATCCCGATAGTCTGAAGCCTGCTTTATTCAGTGTCTCACAGTCATTTTTAGGGACTGTAGTCCGTAGTCCGCCATCCTCAGTGCATTGGTTCAGTGACTCCTGCTGCTTTCCAAAGGCTGCTGAACTTCCTGAAGACACGTTCACATTTGGGGGCAGGAAGAGAGCGAGGGAATGCTGTAGCAGTATTCCTGTTAGTGCTGAGGACATCTTCCAGAGGCTTTCTCTCATTGCCACTGACTCCCAGCGGCTGAGTGAAGTACACATTCCCCCAAGGGGCAGGCGGGTGCCTGGTGAAACTTAAAATCCACAGGTAGCAAAAGCAGCTCAAAGCAAGAAGCCCAGCAGGAGGCAAGGCTGGGACTCCTGTTATGCTGAGCAAGAAGGTGCTGAAGAGAGACAGGAACTGACTGGATAGACAGAAGTCTCAAAAGATACGTCCTTTGCAGATCACCAAGCCCAAGGACCACAGCTCTAGGGAACTGAGAGACTCCTAGCTAAAGCAAGGCAGTTCGACCGTGGGGCACTGAGAGCCACCCACAGTCACAGCATTGGGAACTGAAAATGCCTGCAGGAGAATGAGGAACAGCCACTGGGGTTAAGGGGAGGCTGTTGGGGTGGGGGAGGGGGCTAGCCTGCAAGCTGGGGGGGGCAGGAGCATGGGATCTTGGAGATGTTTAGGCTGGTGTCTCTGTCAGCTTGGTTAGCGATCCCAGGACTTGGAGGTTGCTTCTTACAGGCATGGGGCTGAGGAAGCCTTGCCAAGGCAAGGATCTTAGTCTAGGAGATGGCAAGAGCAAGGCCTGGGGTAGATGGAACACGCTTTCTGCCAATCAGAGACGGGGGAGGGACAATCCACGCATGTGGGTGCCAGGAGGCTTGTGATGACAGCAGGTGGAGGTCTGGTTCTACTTGTTGGGGTGTGGGCCAACAGCTGCTCAGCATGGCATAGATACAGAGGGCTGTGAACCAAGTTCCCTAAGATGCCACACCTATGTTGAAGGTTTTATAGACTGACTAGACAGAACTCCATGATTGCAGAGTTTGACTGTGACAGAATCAGAGCCAAAATTATCCTGGGCTGTCGTAGTCTCCTTACCACCAACCAGTTCCTCTCCCACCTCTGTCTCTGGCTTACCATCACTTACACCTTCACTGTGAGACCTGCTTTGTGTCTATAATCCACAGAGGTGAAAATAGGATAAGAGTCAACACCTTCTCTGAGAGCTTTTGGCATGCCTAGTTCTACCCAAGCTGGACATCCTGACCCCTTTACCCTCCTTATTAACCATTTCCTGTCCTCTTTTTCCACTCCTTGAGAAGAATGAGGCCACAGGTGACTTAAGTAAGAGGGACAGTGTCTACTGTGGAATGAGTATCTGTGTCCACCACCCCAAATTCATCTATTAAAGTCCTGGTCCCCAGTGTGATGGTGTCGGGATGTGGGGTCACTGCAAAGTGACTGGGCTGGAACCTTCATGAACAGGAAGAGTGTCATGGTAAGTAGAGACACAAAGAGATGGTTTCTAACTTGGAAGCTGCATGGACCAGGAAGCAGGCCCTCCACAGCCCCTTCTCATGCTGGAGTCCTGATCTTGAGCTGTCAGAACAGCCAGACATCAGTGTTAGCTGCTTAAGTCTGGTCCTCATTGTTTGTCTTTGCTGCCTGAGCCAAGACAGGACATTAGGTTAAAACTCTCCTCACTTGGAGATGAAGGGAGATGAGAACAAATGTCTGTCCACCCCAGATAGGATACCAATGGCAGACCACGAAAACAATCCCACCATGTTTGGCCTAGTGAACCAGCAAGGTTACAGGGTTACTTCCTGGAGTGTAGACTCAAAGGCAGCTGCACAGCCCAGGCTAGCATCAGTGATGACTCACGGATGCTGTATTCCTGGGCTCCTCACACAGCTCTAAGGCAGAGTCTTCTCCCTCAGCACCACTGCTTCCACAGGGCTGGGGAGGGGCCAGTGATAGCACAACTCAGGCTTTCTGGGTCTTAGCCTCTGGGCCTCAGGAGCCCCAGCCTCCCCTCTAGAAGGGAGGCTTTCAACTCCAAGGAGACTCCTTCCCAGCAGGAAGACTTTCTGAGTGGACTCTGGAGCCACCAGCAGGTGAAGCCTGTGGTCAGCCTCAGTCTTTGGTTTATCTGCTGGTGTTAGGGCCTGAAGCCCAGCAGGGAAGACACTGTAATGTTTTCAGCCGCAGGCCAATGTGTACATGACTAAATTCTTCATGCTTTGGCTTCCTGTCCACAAGATGGGACTGTAACAGACCAGGACTTCTAGTGTACCAGGACTGAAGGGGACGAAGTGTTCAAAGCAAGACACACATTGAGGGCTTGGTTCTGTCAGTGGTCATAATCCTTGTGATTCACCTTATGTTTCTTCACACAAGAAACATCTTTATTAAGACTAATCTGATGGCTTCAGAGCACTGCCCTCTGGCCACACTTCCCATGCCTCAAGATTGGTGTATCTGGCCAGAAGCCTCCTCTTACGCTAGAGGGAGGTCCAGGAAATGCATGAAGGAAACAAAACTTTTCCAGGTCCAGGGAAACCAGGTCAGGAGATTCTCAGGGCTCCACTGTAAGGTTACACAGGCGGTTACCAGCTGCTGAGGGAAAACAACCCTGGCAAGCCAGACTGCCTGCATCTGTGACTGAAAACTCCCGAGATGTCGCTTCTGTGAGTCCTCACCCATGATACAGGGTGATGCAGCCCACTTCTGAGTCATCTGTGCTCCTGCAAGCAACTCCCTCTCTGAAAGTAAAGCCAACCCACTGACTTGAGAGGCTAGACTTGTGTAGATTCGAGGCTGGACCTGTGTGGATGCTTGTCTGTTGTTGGTACCCTTGTTCACGTCTCCCCAGGCAAAGTCGCATAACAGATACAACCCAGTTCTTCTTCCTCCATTTCCAAATGCTGCCCAAACTTATCACTCAGCATAATTCATTGGGAGGAGGCCCTATCTGTCTCCTGTTACCCACACTTAGCATACAACCATGGGATCTGGTAGAGTGTTAGACTTAGCTCTTTAGCCTCAGAACCTCATATGTGCTGAGCTAAACTGACTTCTCTTAACACTGTTTTCAGAGCTCATACTGGACTGATGGTCTAAAATAAAGGAACATGCTTGTTCCACTCTGGAAAGAGGAACCAACACTTGGGGCCTGAAAATATCTCTCCCAGTTTCCTGGAAGCCGGACACTCAAGTGACAGCGGTCTGGAGGTGGGGTGTAGCCTCAAACAGAGCAGCTGCTTAGGGACAAATGAATCATCTCCCACTTGTCTGCTCTTTGAAGGGCAGTTTGATTTGAGACTTGCGGGTGCTTCCATATCTGTGAGCTGGTAAACATTTCCTTTGAAAGACTCCTGAATCAGCCCCAGGATAAGTCTCTACTCACAGGTTTTTTTAGGAGATTACCCAAAGTCCTAGAAGTTCTTTCTATTTAAAAAAAATTCATGGCTTATTCTAGACTCTGGATGCCCCCTGGGCCTGCTCTGTTGCCCGTCATGAGTTCCTTTTTAATACCTACAATTGGGTGCTCCAAGCATTAGAGCAGCAGAACCCTTAAATCTTAGCAGACCTGTGTTGTTCTTAGCCTTTTGCCTTTGGGTGGCCCAATCTCTCCACAGCTGTTTCTCTCTTGTCAAACCATGGAACCCAGACTACAACATCCACTTAACTGAAATTCCACTCAACCCCAAAAATCCATTTCCTGTTTCCATGGGCAGCTTGGATTTTCCTCTCTTTTCCTACAATGACAATACATTTAGCCACTTAGGTAACCATGAGAAACCTCATTCCAGCCATGGTGGGCAGTCCTTGGCCCTTGAAATTTCATCCTTTCTTCCTCCTTCAGCTTGTAAAATACCTTACTGTCCAACAGCAGGCCAGCAGCTGGTCCCAGAGCTTTGAAGGCCAGGTGATAGGTGAAGCTGTCTACATGGACAGCTTGTAATTCTGTATATACAGCATATGGGATGAAAGGTTTATCTTCCATTGAGAATTCAACAAGGAGCAGTGTGAGAGAGAACCCAGGAAGAGAGGCTCAGCTACTCTCTCAGACAAACACACCATGGCTGGGATAAAAGAAAGCAGTGCTTGGAACTTGATAGGAATGCCTTGCAATCTAGAGAGATTGTTGTGGGCCAGCTGACTGGAGAGTTGACTAAGAAGGGAGCGCATTGTCTTAGAGTAGCCTCAGGCTCCCACATCCCAGAGAAGTGGCAATGGAGGACAGAGGGATCCTGTGAAGACTTCCCTTGTGTCTTTGCATCTAAGCCTCTGCCCATCTCAGGGAGAGATGCTACAATTAACCCCTCTTTACAAACAGAGTGGAGGCTTAGAGGAGATCCATAAGCTCTGGCCATGTCACTGGTGAAGAACATAGAGCTCAGGTATAGGGCTAGAGTATACGATGGGGGAATCCTCATCAACGCTCCATGTTCTCACAGTCATAGATGTGAGTGAGTGAGTGAGTGAGTGAGTGAATTAATGGAGCAACTCTCTTGCTTTGATCTTAGAGCAAACCTGAAATGTAAACCATTTAAATCTCTGAGAAAGGTAAGGGTGCACAGTACATGAGAAATAGTCACGGAATGTCAATGGCCATTGAACCCTGACTCTCTCACCATCTGAGGGACTTCTATTGCCCTCTCCTTTTCTGACACAGAGTCTCATGTATACGATACCCAGCTAGACTGGAAATCATTATACAAAGACGAAAATGACTTTGAACTCCTGGTCTCCTGTTTCTGCCTCCCTAATGCTGTGTTGTAAGCACGAAGCAATGGAACTGATTTTATAAGTCACCGGGACTGAATCCAGAGCTTCACACATGCTAGGCAAGTAATCTATCAATGAGTTACACCCTTAATCCCCCATTTTCTGCTGTAAGCCATGATCCCACTCTGAGAGGAACAAGATGCTGTGTTCCCCATGTCTCTTGTCTCTGTGTTTCTGAAGTTCCATTCCAGGAGGCCTAGCAGGATGGTGGAGCGTACCACACAACCCAATGCAGGGGGTTCACACCTTGGTGAGGACAGAGGCAGACAAACACAGCTAAGACAGAATAGAGAAAGATTTACTACCTGCAGCAGGCAAGGAGAGCATCAGAGTATTTCAAAATTGATGCCCTTCTCAAACCGAGGGAGCAGATGTTCTCTTTAAGGTCATGATTTGAGAAGGAAAATAGTAGATCTATTTTTTTAGGTCATGTTCAGTTCAAGGCCATGGTAAAGAGGAAAAAAACTAGGGGGACATTAGGAAAGGAAAGGCAGTCCTCACCTGGAGACCTAGTTGGTGTTTAAAGAAATTCCAGTACAACGAATAACACTGAGATAGCTTTCAGAAATGCCGACTTTTAAAAAGACATCTCAGGAAAAAATTCTCTAAAGCAACAAATCAAGGGCCAGGGCATTTGTAACCTTGAGTTAGGCCCTATTAGCACCCCTCTCTCATCCCTAAAACCGAATGATACACCTCATAAGTTCACCTTGTAATTTCATCTACGTAAAGGGATTCTTTAACATAAGACAAAGTAAGTAAGCCAGTTAATATGTTTTTATTTAAATTTCAAACTGTTTAATTTTTAAGCCTTGCTTACTTGGTAAACGTTGCTGTTAAGTGATGCTTTTTGAGCAATGTGTCGTAGAGAGAGCTGAGTCCTGCCTGCAGCCTTGGAAAGACACTCTAGTAGGCAGTAGGGTCTCTTTCTGATAAGCCACAGTCATCGAGTATCAGTTATGCATTCCTAAGTCAGTCAGGTGCTCTCTGTCTGTGCGTCTGTCTGTCTGTCTGTCTGTGTCTCTGTCTGTCTCTCTCTCCCCCTGCCAGCACTTTTGTATACATGAAGTGTGAACGTGCACTATCCTTGTTTTTACTTAATTAACTTAGTAATTTTACTCTACTCTGATTTGTTCTGACAGTCTTTACTGTAGTGGAGTCAATGTTCTGGATTTACCTGAATGGAAGCTCCCAAGGGAAGGAGCCCCCAAGGGAGGCAGCTATTAAGCAGTAGACTCCTTCTACCCCCAGCACCTGCTTTAAGGGTCTAAATGATAGGGACAGAAATACTTCAGGACACACTCAACTTGTATCATAAAGTTTTAGTTTAGAATAAGGAAAAAGGAACTTTTTATATAGAATCTGTTCTAATACAAGAATTTGTCTCTAATGCTGCTTGTGTCCCTTACTGTGTCAGGCATTCTGAGCCCCTAGTCATATCTAGAAAACTCTATTGCAAGCTCAACAGACTTACAATATGACTGCTTTGACAGCTCTATCTCATCTGACTCCTGTGGTAGAGGCTCCCCATTGGGAAGGACAAACCAAGACTATAGGAGCCTGCTTTCCCCTATGCTTACCCACCCAGGAAAGGTATCCCTCAGGGAAGCAGCCAGCCAGCAATCACTCCTCTGCATGGTTGCTGAGGGGTTGCCCAGGAAGAAAGAATGAAAAGTCAGAGCGCTGCCTGGGGGAATGACCTCATTCTGAGCAGGATGTGAAGAATTCCATTCACACTGAGTTCTCAGGAACATTGTAAACACATCTTGGGGAGTATAAATAAAAGGGTGTTCAGAACTCCATGGTGCTGGTGGCAATAAACAAAATGCTGAACCCTTATTTAATAGAGAACTGAAGACATAGACAGCCAAGGGGGACCCTCTTGGGATCAGCTCATCTTGGGAGTTGGGGACATTGCTGCTAAGTCTAGCACACAAGGTCATGTCTTCTTAGGAGCACACAGAGGCTATGGAGGTATTTGTCCATGACTAAAGGCAGGGGCAAGTGTAGACCTGATTTATAATGGATGACTCCAAGCCCCACCCTCTCCCCATCTCATCAGCAAAGGATGTCTAATTGGTACACAGGATTAACAATATTGACCAATAAATGACTTTTGCAGACCCAGGAGAAATACCTAGGTAACCACACTAAAAGATCAAGGGAAAAAAATCCAAAATCCAAGTAGGGACATCAAAGGTTGTACACTGTGGAAAAAGTAGATTGGCTTCACAGGACTGTTCTAGTCAAGTCAGTAAACAAATGGATAAAGAAGCCAGATACCAGGTTGAGAGGAAGGCAGAAGCAGTCCTCAGAGCTGTAGTATGCAGTGGCCAAGAGGCCCAAGTGCTAATAAAGAGTTTTCATGTACACAAAGAACCAAGAAAATATGATACATGATCAAAAGAAGAGGGTAAGAGACATAGCTTTTAAGAAGCCCCAGATGTTGGATATAGTTGACCAAGACTCCAAAACTACCATTATATATTTGTTCAGGGAACTAAAATAAATAATATTTAAAGATTAAAAGTAAAGAACTATGGAGAGAGAAAGAGAGAGAGAGAGGGAGGGAGGGAGAGGGAGAGAGAGAGCTGATGAAGATATTGTGAAAGAAAAGGACAGTGTTATAGGGTATTATATACTTTAAATTATGAGTACTTAGAAAAATCAAAATTACAAGGACACAGGCAGATTAGTGGTTTCATAGGACAAACTGGGAAGTGAGGAGAGGGTCTCAATGGTTACTTGGTTGGGTTTCATTTGGAGTGTGATGAGTATATTATGAACTAAAATGGTGGTGAGTATAATCAACTCAGTTTATAAATACACTAAAACACATTTAACTGTATGCTTCAAGTTGGTAAATTTTATGACAGTGAACTATATTTTAATAAATATGTTTAACAAAGAAAACCCAGCTAACCAACCAAGTAAGAACTAAAGATTTTTAGAAATACATGAGAATTGTCAAAATGGCACCCATAGGCTTGTGTTTGAACATTTGTTCTCCAGATGGTGGCACTGTTTGGGGAGAGTTATGGAACCTTTAGGAGGTGCAGCTTTGCTGGAGGAAGTGCAGCACTGGGGGTAGGTTTTAGGGTTCATAGCCTCATGTGACTTCTTCCCCCCCCCCCACCATTTCCTGTGTGTGGATGGAGTGTGACTAGCTGGACTCTAGCTCTCTGGGACTGTAGGCCACATTCACTCTTCCTTAAGTTGCTTTTGGTCATGGTACTTTATTGCAGAAACAGACAGTAAGGCACAGGAAGAGGGTCAAGGCCAGTGGCTCCTCCCTGTTATGGGATTTGTTTCCTCGGCCTCTGCCGGAAGCTCTGTTCCAGGGGCTCCAGCCCTGAAATCCGGAGTTAGGGTGGTCTCTTGGGTCTGTACTGGCCTTGCCTCAGACTAATGCGTGGTGCCATGATGGTGTTTCCTTGTTCTTCCTATGAGGTCTTATAGTAAAGGAACACACCCACCTGTGCCCATATCCCATGTTTAAGTCTCCCCTGACTGCACTAACAGCCCTCACTGGTGAAAGTCAAAGAAGTGCTTTAATGCCCCTGTGGTCAGGGCTCATAGCAATCCACCAGATGTCCAGCGTTGACTTGCTACCTACTCCAGCCTTCCTAACTTGCTCTCTGCCTTCACTTCCGCAGTCTGAGCAAAGACATTCTCTATTGCAAGCAGCCTTCTGCCCATCTGGAACACTGGCCATGCTAAGCCCCAGGCTGACACCACCTCATTTCCACACACTTCTGAAAAACATACCCCATAGATTTATAAAAGTTATACAATGAACATGTTACTTTTCTAGACTATAAAGTGTGTGCTTTGAGGCTGAGCCCTCAGAGAACCCTGAAGGGAGTCCCCTCTCCAGACACAAACTATAGGGCTCTTGCTTCCTATTGCTCATGCGCTGTGGTCAGCTATGAGGAATAACATGTCTGTTCTTCCTGGTAATATTCCTATGGACGAAACACACTATTTAGAACTAAACGGTATGTTGCACATCTTTTTACTGAGAAATATCTACTCAAATTCCCCATCACCTCTGTAATCCCTGGATGGAGAGCATGCTTGTCTGCACCCTCCCCTCCCCCATGTGCCCTTCTTTCCTCTTCTCCCTTCTCCGCTCCTTATTTTAAGCAAACATCTGTTTATCACTCATCCTACCCCTAGGCACCTAAGCATGGCAGATGTACTTCCCTGTGCTGTGTGGCTGTCATAGGACAGTCCCCTGGGCCCTGACCTACAGTGAACACTCTATGCTACGTCCTGGTTATTCCTAGTCTTGGTTATTCCTACCTCAGGCTCTCAGACTCTTTTAGCTTGTGCTATCTGCTTGGAATCTGAGCACTGCCCTTATAGTGGGGGTGGGGTGGGGTGGGGTGGGAGGAAGTCCTTAGTGATCCTTCTGGAATGAGAGATGCTCTTCTGGCCAGTTTTCCTGGCAGTGAGCACAGAGTGGCATTGTTTCCCTGGGTGATTCTGCAATGCCTGCTGCCCAGCCCAGGCCCAGAGTATGTTGAGAATGCAGCCCGCCGCCAGGCTGTTCTCACTTGAGAACTGAAGCGTCCTTTCCCATATCTACCCTGAGCAATCTTGCTCAGGATTCATGGCCACTTCATCCAATACCTTCTGCTGAGATGCTTACACTGCTGATACACCCCTGAGCCTTCAGTAGGCTGCACTATACCCAAATGTACCATGGGGTCCTTGCTGAAGGCAGAGCCCTTTGTTGGGTGCAAGCGAAGCTGAGCTGATGTCTTCTGTCCCTTTAGGGCTTAGCAAGTTGGGTCTGCAGCCTTGTGGGGAATGGAGTCATGATCTGTTTTTCCTCCCCTGACCAAGAAGGAGGAGCCTGTGTTGATTCCATGTGGCAAAGTCTCATTTGTGCCGTCCTGGAGGTCTCCACAGATCTGGCTAGGTACACTATCTCACAGTTCTGAAACCCCGGTCACCACTGAGAAGTGTACAGCAGCTGGCCAGTGGATACCCTGAGTTCTCTACAGGGACCAAGGCTAGTAGGAGTCCTCTGGCAGGCCCATCCATCTGTGGAGCTTCAGCTGCGAAGCTCAGCACAGGTCAGTGGCCATGAGAGAAGGCAGAAAGAGTGGGGTCCGGGAGGAAGGGATGATGGGGGTCGTGTCAGAGGCAGTTTCCTCCGGCCCACTGTCACTGTCACCCGGACCTTCAGTGACAGATGGGATGATTCTCACCGTGCTGTCTTCAAAGTGGACCTGCTTCTTCTTGGCCAAGGAGTCGGCTGGCTCCAGCGCCAGCTCCATTAGGGTATCTCGGGGCTGCCGGACACGTGGTGTCTTGGTCCCCTTCATGATGCTCTTCATGTGGATGAAGAATGAGCCAGGCCCCTCCCTGAGGGCCCCGTGGAAAGTGTAAGTTTGCTCAGTGTCCCCAGAGCCTGTGGTGCTCACAGTGCTGCTGGAGGGGTCTGTGTACTGCTCTGTGGGGGCCAGCACCTCTGGGGCAGCCTTTCTTTTCTTCCGCTTGCTCAGCAGGAAGTAGGCCAGGCCAGTGATGATTAGCATGGAGCCTGCAAGAGATCTGGGAGGTCAGAATACTGCACAGACACACCATGGAGGAAAAGCAGAGGCTGGGCAAGCCTTTCGCTCGATGGTGCCACTGCTATACCATGTTGAACAGCCGTGACCGGCACCCCAATAGGCCCAGCCTTCACACACCCACATCAGGCTGACACAACGACACGCCAAGGCTAAAAGGTTAAAACAGGCCCAGTGCTATGGGATCAGGCTACCGAAGAGGGCTCTGTCTGCCTCTTTAGGGATTCTCCTGATCTCCGTGCCCCAAGTTCCCCTCATATGGGGAGCTGGTCTTCATACTGACTCCCTGCCTTCCATCACTGTTCTCTGCTTCCTTCTCAGGGGGGATTATGGGGCAAGGGATGTGATGGCTTTGCTAGATATGGACGCTGTTGTGGATATTGAACATTTTGGCTGTCTTTTCACTCCTAGGTATGTGGAGATTCCCCAGTTCTCACCCAGTAATCTTGGGGAGACATGCATCTCTCATGTTCGGTAGCACAGAGAATGCTGGCCATGGCTCATCTGTGCAGATTCTCTGCTGTGGTCTCCCGCAAGGAGCACAGCCCACCTATGGGAATCCAGGAACCTGACTGTCAATGCCCACCAGTTCCGGGGGCTCTAAGTCTGCCTCTTCAGGGGGCAGGGCTTGTGGCTCATTCAGTGTCAGGGTGAATCCTCCAGTGACTTTCTTCAGGGTCCCAGGCACATATGCTAAAGAAGATGGCAGTTTATTCTCCTTCTGTTTAGTCTGGAGAGGGTTTTGGTATTTTAGATGGGCTCTGGGAGGGGCACAGTGATTACTTAAATAAGGAGGCAGGAAGTGGAGGGTTGTAGAAAAGAAGGTGAGAGGCTAGAGCAGAGGCGAGGATGCCAGTTCTGGGGTGAGAAATTGAGTCCCATGCAAGGCACTAGGAGGAGGAAGAAGAGGTAAGGCTGCATGTTGTTTGGGGGTCCCACAAAGAGTGCCTTCCTGACCCAAGCCTGGAGCTTAGAGCTGAACGGCCTGGTGCTGTGGGGATGTGGAAGGGTCTGGGCTGAGGATTAGCCACCCCATTCTTTGAAAGTGGTCAGTGAGAGGACAACCCAGGGTCCCATCAAGAGTCCAGCCTCCAGATGGCTATGTTCTGAAGGGGCTGCACCTCAGGATGTCCCTGTTGCTTGGTCAGTGCTGTGGACATCTGGCAGTCATTCTCACATACTGGGCCAGAGAGGGCAGAGGGGCTGGTGGGGGCTCTGGGAGACAGGACCTGATCCTCCTGCTTAGAGCACATCTGTGCAGGGCCCACATACTTCCATTACCCCTGGCGCTCCTACCTGGAATGGTCACATGCCAGACCAGCACAGGGTGGAGGAAGCAGGCCACAGACAGCAGCACATAGGCTAGAAACTTCTGGAAGCAGCCCAGCCAGTGGGCCTTCTCCCTTACTCTGTGTGCCAGAGACCCTGGCTGACACCTGGGGGGAGGGGATAAGATTAGCAGGTTAGTAGAAATTATTCCAGGAAAGTCCTGGCTCCACAGAAGGCTGTGGGAGCCTGGGACTGAGCCCTGGAGTACCTCTGATCTCTGCAGTGGCTCCTATCTGAGTATCTGAGGGGTTGGAGCCTCAGACCAGGATCCTCGCTGTGGGTTCTGTGGCTAAAGAGCTTCAGTTATTCCAGAGGGTCCATGGGGTTTCTAAAAGGCTTCCGTGGCTCTTGTTTTTAGCTGTGGTTTTGGTCAACAGGAAAGGAAAGTTGATGAAAGTCTCGTGGCTTTTTTGGAAGTCTTAAATGGACCGGTAATGGTGTGCAGTACAAGAACCGCCTCCTGGGACCACTGTGGGGACTGAACCCAACACGAAGAACAAGCAGATGGAACTCCGTGGCACCATGCTTGCTGATCTTGCCAGGCCCAGGACACAACTGGCTTGGAAAAACTTCATTTTGTTCCTGACACCCAGGGACCACCCAGGGTAAAAATCAGAGCCCAGATATGCTGAGCAGAGTTCTTCAGGGATCCTGGCTCCAGGTTTCAAAGTAAGCAATGCCTGTCCTCTGGCACTGGGACCTTGCCTAGAATGGCTCATTGGCGCCCTCTGGTGTCTGTCCGTGGGTATATGTGTATATGTGCACAAATACCAGCAGGCATGTTCTTGTGAACCCATGTAGAGAGGATTCTGGGACTAAAACATCCCTACACCAAGAATCCTTTGAGGCAGAATTCAGAAGAAGTGGCGGGGGGAAGGGGGTACCACCCAAGGGTTGAGCCTGGGAAGTAGCTAGTGGCCCCCTAAGGTGCTAGGTTTGGCTAGCTGTATCTGAGGGCTGGCTCTCACTGACCATCTGGGGACTGACTATGTGGGCTGTTATCCACAGTCTAGGTTCTGAGCCCTTACCACAATGATGACAGCTTCACACACCGAGCACTGTGGACAGCAGCAGGGCCTTTGTGCTGTGAATGCTGGGAGAAGAGCCAGTTCTCACACACTGCTCTGTTCCCCACAGGCTAAGCCTCCTGCTAGGTCCTCAGCCTGTAGTGGACAGTGTGAACACAGGCCCAGAAACTGAATGTCCTGAGGAGGGAAAACTGACTTTGCCAGGGAGTCTGGTGAGAGTCAGGCCCTGACTGGATCTGTCCGGCTGGACACAGCAGAAATCCGGTGGCTGGGCCATGCAGACCTAAGACATCTCCAGGCTGGGGCTCGAGACTTCTGGAAGGAGACCCAGGCTATAGTGGCCTCAGAAGCAGGGCAAGCTGAGCCGTGGCCCCGTAGGTGAGGTACCTGTCTGGGGCCGGAACAAGAGGCACTGCAAAGGTCACTTATGAAGACTACTTACTTGAAGCAGATGGCCAACAGTTGCGCCACAAAGTAGGTCCCTTCGCACACGGAGATGGCGACTCCTGTAAACCTGTGGGGGAAATGGAAAAGGTGAGGGAGCCCCCATGAATTTAGTGAGGATTCTGCTTGCAGCTCCTCTGATTCCCAGACATTTCCACTGATGCAGGGACTGTGGGCCCCATCCCCATATATTCATGTGTACCAGTCACACATCCCTAGTGCTGCCTGAATGGCATCTGGGTCTGTCCTGCTGCTAGGAGGCAGAGGGAAGGAAGAAGCAGAGGCCAGCAGGTGAGGCGACTTGTACTTGGTATTCTGAGTGGACATTGGAAGGCATGTCTGCCTGCTGGTTCAGCCTTAAAGCCGATCACTTGACTCAAACTCCAGTGACCTGGGAAGAAGGACCTTAATTAAGAGGATGCCTCCATTGGATTGTCATGTAGGCAAGTCTGTGGGCAGGTGATCCTGGGCTGTATAAGAAAGCAAACCGAGAAGGCCATGGAGAGCAAGCCAGTAAGCAGCACTCCTCCATGGCCTCTGCTTCAGTTCCTGCTCTGAGTTCCTGCCATGACTTGTCTTCAGATTGGATTCCGATGCGGAAGTGGGAGCTAAATAGACCCTTTCCCCCATGAGCTGTTTTGGTTATGGTTTTTATCACAGCAAGAGAAATCAGGACAGTCCTGATGAAGAGCCTGCTTCTCTGTCTTTTTTCCAGTTTCCCACCCACCAAGAGCTGCTGGGAGCCTTTCTTAAACACCTTCAGATTCTTTCCCATTTTCTCTGGCCTCATGTGCTCTGCCCTTGGCCTTCCTGACTCACTGGCCTGTATCTCCTCCTCCACAGTCACCAGCCTCCACGGGTTCTGTGACACACCCATCTGAAGGTGCTTGCTCTGGACCACACATTCTAAAATCAGAATCTCCCAGGGCATATGTGAAATCATAGGTTTCTGCCTAGCCTCTCAATTTTGTATATCAGAGTTCTTGTGAATAGAATTTCAATTTTTGTTTGAAAGGGCATATCATTTAAATCTCTTTACAAATAATACCCCCATTGTCCTGAGTATACAGGAAGTTAGTAGGCACCACAGGGCCTTTGAATAAGCTAACCCTTCTTGGAAATTCCACCCCCCTCTGATGTCTGTTTGATGAACTCATGTCATGGAAATGGCCAGAGTCACTATGAGCTTCAAAGGATTTTCCTGTATGATTATCATGTAAGACCTGGACCCACCCTGGGCAGGACTTACAGGAGAGTGCCCTGTGAATACCCACCAGAGTGAAAGCTGGCGAGAGTAGATACAACAGGGTACTCAGGCCACTGAGTCCTCAGGGTCACAGGTCCTACTTCTGTTACTGATCAGCTGTGTGAATGTAGATAAAAGCTTGGCCTTCTTATGACTTAGTTTCTCTCTTGTAAACCAGGGGTAACTTTTAGGCTTCATCAATACAATTGTTAAGAATTAAACAAGTAGATGTCTACATGCCCCTTGTAGCTGTGCTTGGAACGTAACTACCCTTAAACTGCTTTTTTCTCTGTGTGTGATTGTGGCGGTTAACCTCTACTGTCTCCTGCTCTCCCATGCTCCCAGTATTTGCCCAATTCTTACCCCTTAGTTGTGAAATGATAGGGGCATAATGATTGATGTGTGCTGATCACAATTCTAGAAGCCTTAATAGAACCAGAAGTTCTATTAATGCCAGTTATGGATGAGGAAACTGTGGGTAAGACCCTTGCTCAGGTCTACACAGCTCATCAGTGGCAGGTGCAAGATGGGAACCACCCCAAACTTTGGAGGCCACGTGACTGAGAAGTATTCAAAGGTACGTGCTTTGCAGTAACTCTCTGCAGAGCTGTTTCTACATCCTGGGGCAGAGCAGACTTGAGGCTTGGTGAGTGATTCATTCAGATTTTCTGTAGGGTGTTAGTGAGTGAATGGGGCGGGGATGACAGGATAGGCATTGGTGCTGATCTGCGGCTGTCAGAGAGCAAGGCATGAGTAGAGGAGAAACTGAGTGAATGAGAGAGGCAGGGAGACTTGGGCTCAAGAATAACCACCTGGGCATTGAGTCCCCTCAAGACAGGACAGAGTCCTAAGGAAGATGTGACTCTGAGGGCAGAAGGCATCTGCATTACTTGACTCGGAAGAACTGCAGTATTTGGACAGAAGGCAGCCCAGCCTTGCTGCAGGGGCCCAGGGAGACAGCGTCCCAAGGCTGATGAGATGTGGGGTGTGTCCTTGGGTGCTCCATGGGCACACATGGCACGAAGGACAGGAAGTGGGGAGGGCCAGAAGTCCCCAGGTATAATCAAGTGTCAAGAGGAAAGCTGGAAGTACAAACATGAACTCAAAAAGCAGAATGCAGCGGGGAGGCGGCAGGCGGGAGGAGATTCCAGGACCAGCAGAGGCTACATTGAGGTAGGGGGTATAATGCTACCCAGGTCATAGGTCAGTCACCAAGGTGAAGGGCAGGTCAGTGAAGGGAAGGACAGGGCAGAAGATGCAGCCTGAGATCTTGTGGGCAGAAAGAAGCTATGGAGCCCTTCTATTGCTGGGATGCGGAAGTCTCCTAGGCATTGGGAGGGAATTACTAGTGGCCCAGGGCAGGGTTGTAGAGACGCTGAGTCACACACCCAGAGACCCCTAACTTTCTCACCACTTGTGACACCTCTGCACAGCCATGCTTTTCCCATTAGGGTGTATTGGTAGGCACAGCTGGTGGTGGAGAGGTAGAGTCAGCTTGGGAGGCAGAGTCTAGTGTCTGAGCATGGTGCCTGCTGCTCACTAGCTCAGTGACATGGGTTGGCTGCTTTATCCCTGAATTTGATCATCTCTACAACTAGGCCAATGTGTACATGCTAAGATAAATGACATCATGCAAATAAGACAGTGAATTGCAGTTGTCATGCAGGAATATATATATATACACATATATATGTGTGTTCTCTAATCATATATGCATATACATATACATCTATATGTAGCTATAGATGTGTGTGTATATATGTATATATATGTATTGATGTTTGTTAAATAAGGAAATAATTATAGGGATACCTGGATGTGTGAAGGTCTGGGTAAATGGGTAGATGATGCATAGAGTTGGTGGGTGAAGGGTGGCTGAATGGGGGTGTGGGTAGACGGGTGGGATGGATATATGGATGGATGGATGGATGGATGGATGGGTGATGGGGCAATAGGTGATTAGGTGAGTGAGTGAATAGGCAAGTCTGTAGATGGGTGAATGGGTAGGTGGAAAGGTTGGTGGGTGTTTGGATGGGTGAATAGATGGATGAGTGATTTGATGAGGGATAGGCACACTGGTACATGGGTGCATTAGTAGGTAGAATGTGTGGATGGATAGATTCATGGGTGGGTGATGGACAGGTGGATGTATGGAAGGTCAGGAAGATGCATGAATGAGTTATGGAAGGATGTTGGCTAATTTATGGGGTCTTCCCAAACCAGGACTTAGAAGCTTCTGTGGCTCCACCTCTGGGATGGGGTGGATTTATCATGGGAAGTGGGTTTCTCTGTGTTACTCTGAGTAGTAAACAGACATGGGGTGAGCTGGAACAGAGCATGCAGGCAGGGAAAGCACAGGTGTGCATACTCACAGCAGATAGAAGGCCAGGCTTTTGAACTGCCCTCGGAGGAAGGTCTCGGTGCCCACTCCGATCAACACTGCAGGGGAAGAGAAGACGGGAGAGTGGGTCTGGGTATACCACTCCACAGAATTTCCTAGGAGGGCTCTTGACTGAGGTATGGGCTTCTTCCTGAGGTCTGAGGGTCAGGATGGTCCCCTTCCATGTCTGACAGCTGTGGCTAGGTAAAGAGAGCAAGAAGACTTCTGGGTGGTTCCCCAAATCCCATGAAGAGCCTGGAGACCTCTCCAGCCCTACAGCAAGAAGCCACAGTCTGTCTGTGTGTGCCAGAGACTGCCTGAACTAGAAGCATTAGCTCTGTAGGTTCATGGCTGCTCTCTGTGATGACTTCCAAGACTCTTGCCATCCTAGCCCAGGCCATGGTATGTGTTTTGTACCTTGCCATTTGTAAAAGTTGCCTAAATTCCACTTTCTTGCTGGGATCCCTGATCTTGTGGCTCTGCCTAGAATTAAAGAGGTATTCATTCTGAAGGTGGCCGTGATAATCAAGAACATACTCTCTCAGAATTTAAAAGGATGCTCACTGTGACTTTAAGGTGATATTTACCCCATGTTGGCCTGAGCCCTCTGAGCCCCTACAGAGTGACAGAGGGTGACACACGAGACATGGTGAGAAGTATGGGACTCTGGGCTTTTATACTGAGAAGGCTTCAAGAGGACCTAAGGTGGGAAAATCAATGAGCAATGTCAGTGAATGATGAAGGGCTCTTTGTCCACAGTGAGTATGTATGTTAATGAAGTAGACTATGCAAACAGGCATGTTCTTTCCCCTTGAAAGGGCTGAGAAGAATAAACTAGCTCTTATCATAGTTCCATTAGCCATTGTCTACATTCTTACAACACTCCATCAGGTATTAAAACAGAATGCCTGTCAACGCCATGACTTTCCCAGAACAGGGCAGGGATGTTGAACCAGTTGATGCCCATTCACCCAGATAATAAGGGTTGTTAACACAGACGAAGTTGCAGAAATTCTAAGCATGGCCTGGAGGCTTCCTGTGTTCTCAGATCTATGCAATAAACACAGTTGATTCAGGATTGAGAAGCAACAAGGGAAAAGGTCTGGATTTATGGTAGAAACTTCTGGACATTCAGTTGGAGATTTCAAGGAAACGTTGGTATTTATCATTCTAATCAAAATGTTTGGAGAGAACTTCCTCATGACAGTAGAATTCACCCATTTTATACTTGATTGTTTTTCTTTCCATTCCTTTTTTTCTGTTTTTCATTACTGGGGAGCATATGCTAGGCAAACTCTTGACCACTGACCTACATTACCAGACCCCTAACAGATTCTTTAAACATGACCCACAGGTGAAAGACATCATTTGAGGTGTCTGTCTTGGTTTTAGCTCAGTAACAGTTCCTGGGAATACATGGCAATTGTGCCTCTGGCCCTATGCACCTCTTGGTATCCACACCTCTCATGCAATTTAGCACCTGTCTATGGCAGAGAGCTGCCTCTCTCTGACTCTGGCCTCAACAATGTGACTTCCTCTGAGCCATACGATTTTCTAGACACAATGCAAATAGAGACAAAAAGTGTATTTGAGAACTCGGCTTACTCTCTTGTGTCTCTGCCACCACTAGTCTTCTTACTGGAACATGAGAGACCAACCCGTGGAATGGGATTGCCTTATCATCCCAATAAAGGCCAGGCTAGATAAGCCATCAGCTCTCTGGCTTCCAGGCAGAGAAACAACATTGGCAAACAACATTAACAGAGCTGCTGAGCCTACTCACCAGGCTGTGAGAACACCTAAAGCTTACTGTTGTATGCCTCTGAGGTTGTCAGATGTTTGAGGATATCATTTTAGCAAGACAGCACATGCACTTTCAGCGATAGCTTTAGTGAGCCACACTTGGCCTCCACCAAATGCCCATGTTTAAAGTGCAGTCTGATAAGCACTGACATATGTCTTCACTCATGAAAGCATTACCACATGAAGAAAACGGGCACCATTAGTAGCCCAAAGTCTCCAGGTGTCACATCAGTGAAATCTTACCTTCTCTTTCCTTGGTCCACCCCTAAGCAGCTACTGATCTACTTCTATCACTAGAGATTAGTTTATGTTTCCTGTGAGTTAAGATAAATAACATTGGATATTTTATAGTCATGTTTGACTATTTGTTACTTTCACAAAGTTACTTCCAGATTCATTTTTGCTGTAGTGTGCATTAGTAGTTAGTGCCAATCTATGCCTGATTGATAGTGCAGACTAGTGGGGATACACCTCATTTTGTTTATAATTAACACACTGATGAACAATTGGGTTGTTTCTGGATATTATGAATTGAGCTGCTATGGGCATTTATATGTAGTTTTTGCATGGCTGTATGCTTTCGTTATTCTTGGGTAGACAGATGCTTGGGAGTAGGATAACAATTCATATGGCAGCTTTTGCAGAAACTGTTTCAAGTGAGTACTGTTTGCACTTCCACTAGTGAATGAGAATTTCATAGCCTTGCCAATGATACAGTCATTTTAATTCTAGGCATCCTAATAATACATGCCTGGTTTCTCACTGTGATATGGATTTGCATTTCTCTAAGGGCTAATGATGTGGAATGTCTTTTCATGTTTGCCATCAGTTGTATTTTGTGTTGGCTTCCAATACTGTAGTTTAAAGGGAAATGTTTTTAAATTTTGATAGGATCTAATCAGAAGAATTTTATTAATTCTTTTAACAACGGACTGAACTTTTGGTATTGAACTGAGAAATCTCAGCCTAACTCAACACAGAGATTTTATACTATTGTCTAAGAGTTTTATTGCTTTGAGATTTTTAGGTCTATGATTTATTTATAGCCCTTTAAAATAATATATAAAGTATATATAGGTAATTTTGTAGAATGTATATTTAATTGTTTATATGTATTATGCATTAAAGAGGAACCTTTAATATACTAGTTGCCTTTGTTCTTTTAAATTTCTTTTCCTGTTGACATCTTCATTGAATTACTGTGCTGGCTAGAGCTTCAACACAGTACTGACTCTATGTGATGAGACTGGACATCCTTGGCTTGCTCCAACCTCAGAAGAAAAGCACCTAGCCTAAAACTTTCAGAGAGCTGCATAGTTTTGGTTTGTTTGCTTTTAGATGCCTTTTTTTTTTGCCCTTGAAGAAACATACCCTATGACTACTGATAAACAGTATTTTATTACAGAAGGCTAGAAAAGGGTATTCCAAGTAAATGGAGCTAAAAAACATGCAGGCTATTATAATATGTGACAAAATGGACTTCAAACCCACGCTAATCACAATAGATAAGGAGGGATAGATTATACTTATTAAAAGTAAAACCTGGCAACAGGATATTATAATCCTAAACATATATGCACTGAATAAACATGTTTCTCAATTTCATAAAAGAAATACTATTCAATTTAAAATCATAGACTTACTCCAACAGACAGATAGTAGGCAATTTCAATATCTCACTTTCACAAATAGACAAGTCATCTGGAAAAAAAAAACCCTCAATAGAGAATGTGGGGTATAAGTGACCTGGTAAACTAAATGGACATAATGTTTATCTACAGAACATCCCACTAGAAAACTAAAGATGACAGAATCCCCTCATTAGCCCAAGGAACTTTCTACAAAATAGACTGCACATTAGGACAAAAAACAAGTCTCGGCAAATACAGGAAAACTGAAATCATATCTGGCACATTAATCTGACAACCATGGATGCTGGATACTAACAACAGAAGAAATAATGGAAAGTACACAAACTCATTTAAGCTAAATATTACACTACTGAATCAAAACGGGGGTAAGGAAGACATCAAAGAGGAAATGAAAAATACCTAGGACTTAATGAAAATGAAAACGCAACATACGAAAATCTGTGGGACATGATGGAGACAGTAATAAGAAGAAAGTTTATAACATCATGTGACTACATAGCAGTTTTAGAGAGATCTCCAATTATTAACTTAATGATGCACTTGAAGCCTTTGAAAAACAGGAACAATTAATACTCCAAAATAGTAGAGTGGACTAGATAATCAAAATTAGGGATGAAATTAATGAAACAAATGATTAAAGCAATACAAGGAATCAATGAAATGAAGAGTTTGACAAATGTTTGGCCAAACTAACTAAAAGAAAGTAAACTAACAAAACTAACCAAAAGAAAGAGAGGGGGATTCAATGTTAATCAAATTAGAGAAAAATGGAGACATCGTAATAGAACTGAGGAAATTCACAGACTTATAAAGACACACTTTAAAAATTTACATTCTACCAAACTGAACAAAATCTTTAAAAATGGATGAATTTCTAGATATATATGATGTACCAAAGTTAAATCAAGATGAAGCCACTAATTTAAGTAAACTTATAATACCAAGTGAGCTAGAAGTAATGAAAAAATCTCCCAAATTACAAAAAAAATCCAGAGCCAGATGGGCTCAATGTAGAATTCTACCAGACTTTCAAAAATCAACTAACACCAATGTCCCTCAAACTATTTCACAAAATATCAAAAGGAGAAACATTTCTAAATTCTTTTTAGGAAGCCAGTATTACTCTGATACCAAAATCAGACAACTAACAAAAAGAAAATTATACGCCCATATTTTTTGATGAGCATAGATGCAAAACTTCTCAATAAAATGCTTGCAAACTTAATACAAGTACACATCAAAAGAGATTATCCACTGTGATCTAGTCTGATGAATTCCAAAGATACAGGGTTGGATCAATATACATAAATCAATAAACATAAACCATCACATACAGAGACTAAAGGACAGTAACCATGTGATCTTTCTTTTGATTCAGAAAAGGTCTCTGATAAAATCCAACACCCCTTTGTAATAAAAGTTCTGGAGAAAATAGGGATACAGGAGACATGTCTCAGCATAATAAATGCAACATTCATGAAGCCCATTATCAGCATAATCTTAAATAAAGAGAAACTCAAGTATTTCTGTAAAACTCAGAAAAAAAAGCCATAGGTGTGCATTCTCCCTACTCCTGTTCAATACAGTACTTGAAGCATTAGCTA